GGGCGACATGCTGGTGCTCAGCCCCTCGAAGCTGTGCAGCCGCGGGCCGCCGCAGGCCTTGCTCGCGTCCGCGTAGGGCGCCTCCCAGCGCAGGATCTCGGCCCACGCGCGCTCGTTGACTGCGTTGTGGATCGGCACGACTGTCTTCATGTCGCTGGCTGTCGAGTTGGTGTGGCCCTTGCGCTTCATCGCGTCGAAGAACTGGCGCTCTGAAGGGTAGACCCACTTGCCGGTGGCGGAGGCGCCGGTTTCCGTCTCCGCGTTGGACGGGCAGGCGGATGGGCCTGGGGTCGAGGAGCGTGGGATCGAGGAGATTACGCGCGAGTCGTCGAGGGTTGGCGCGGTTGGCGGGGAGGGGGGCTGGTGTGGTTGTTGGGACGGGGTTGTGGTCGTTGTGAAGGGGAGGCGGAACGGGGACCAGGAGGCCCAGGAGGAGCTTGTGGTTGTTGTTGTTGTTGTTGTTGTTGGGTTTGGTGGTGGTGTTTGCGCTGCTCCTGCTGCGACGGCGGGGTGTGAAGGTGGTAATGTCGTTGGGGAACCGGAGGCTTCAGCTGCGGCGGCGGCGGCGCGGGCCTGCTGTATCCATGTCTCGCGGGTCTTGTGGTCGACGGGGCACTTGGCCTCGTCGGCGCCGTCGGGAGTGGCGACGTTTGACGGGGCGTCATTCATGTCTGCGGGTGTGGGCGCGGACGCGGACGCGGTCGCGGTGACGGGGCTGCGGGGGAGGGCAGTCGAGTCTTTGTTGGTTACGAGGATGGTGTCGAGGAGGTCCGTATGCATTATTACGACATTGTCGATCGCGAGGCGGTGGTGTTCATGATTTTGGGGGGGTGAGTTTCGTGGTTTTGCCACAATTATGATTGGGGTGGATAAGCCAGCTCAGCTACGACCACACCTTATCCAGTGGGTAACGCCGGGAAATTTAAATTCAGCGCCCGCCGCCTTGTCGCGGTCGCGCAGTTTGGCAGCTGCAGTCGTTTGGGCGCCAAGGCCGCTAGAGCCGTAGGTTGGGAGGTCTGGAGGGGTCCGCCGTCCACCTATCCGACGAGCTGCACGCACCGTCTTCGTACGTAAGACAGAACCTCTTTGAAGAAAGCCAATGCTACACTCGCGTCGAATATTGGCGGAAAGTCGCCAATTCATACCAGCTGTTTAAACTTCGCGTCACAGCATTGAATCGGGTATGTTTTGTTCTTGTCCAGAACAAAACATGCCCAGCCAACTCAATTGGAGCATGCAAGGGAATATCGACCCAGATAGATGTCGGAACAAACTTCCCTTCAGCTCAACGACGGCCAGGTCATACCCATCAGCCATTCACATGTGACGCAATCTCCATGTCCTGCCGCTCAGCATTGCACGCCCTGAAGCAGGAGTATTTGTAGAATTTTACGTGTATTTTTGTATTTGTCTACAAGACGAATGCGTTATACCCAGACAGCCACCCCCTTCAACCCTCGGCAGGAAGACGAGTCAACGCCTTCGAGCTTGTCAACTCGACATCGAGGGGCATTTGAGACCGCCCCCAGTTTTCCCGGTTCCGTAGTCTCCCGCCATCGGGAGGACCTGGGCAGTCCGTAGACTGCACCCCCGCCAGGCCCCGGACACGTGAATGAAAATGATGCAAGCCCGGCTCGGATAGTTGTCTCGAGCCCAGCTCCAGCCTCGCCTCTGTTGCTGCCTGTCCCTTGCTCTCATGAACCGTCATTGTCGTGCATGAGTCCGTCCGTCTGTCTGTCTGGTTCGTTCGTTTTCCGTGGTATCCTGAAACCCTCGTCCCGAAGAATAAAAAATAAAAAAAGGCAATGCCCGGCCGGCCCCGAGGAGGAAACGTCGCTCGGAGGCGCCGGAAGTAACCGGTTATCTCGGCAAACGACAATGCGTGCCGGCGGAGACCCGTGACGGCGCTCAAGCAAAAGCAGCGGCGCCGCCCGTCTCAACCGCCTCGATCTCGGCGAGGCTGATGGGCGTCCTGTGGAAGCGGGCCGGGAGCTCGCTGCGGTCGAAGAAGTAACCCTTGGGAGGGGCAACGGGGCCCAGCTGGGAGCCGGCGGCGTCGCCAACCGCGCCCTCGGTGGCCCGGATGGTCTTGCGGAGGGGACCAAACTGCTGCGCGTGGTCGCGGTAGGTGCTGAAGGAGGCGTGGGACCCCTTGTCGGCGCCGCTGGTGAAGGAGGCGGGCAGCGAGTGCGTGGGCGACGCAGGGTGGGGTTGCGGCGTGTGATCGATGTGTGCTGTGACAGGGGAGAAAAAAACTAAGTCAGCTTATTGTTTGTTTTGTCACTTTCGCCGGCCGAGTCACGGATGCACATGCACGGGTGCGTGCAGTGTGCAGCGAGACGCAACGGGCGGGCGGGAGGAAAAACGCACCAGGGACAGTCCGCTTTCCGAGGAACTTGATAGACGGGGTCCGCTCGGCGTGCTGGGCAGCCTGGCGCAAAGCTTTGGAGGCGAACATGTTGACGGGGGGGGGGCGGTAGGCCGGCGGCGTTGGTTTTGTGTGGAGGTGGTGGTGGTGGTGGTAGCAGGGCAGGATGCAGAAAAAGGCGCTCAAAAGCTCTTTCTCCTCGCAACGGCTGCTGTCCTAGGCGGGTGGTTGTTTCAAACCGCGATGCCGAAAGACGATGGTGGGAGGTGGTAAATGGCGGAACGGAAAGGACAGGTCGGGCGAGGAGAGAAGTTGCGGAGCTTATGAACGGTGTGCTGGGATCAAATCGCAACAGAAGACAGGAGACGGTCGCCAGAAATGGAGTCTGGAGGCGGAGGTGGAGCAGGACAGCCAGCAGATAAATGAGATTCCGACGGACGAAGCGTGCACGCCGTGCAGTGTGCTTGACTTTTTTCACAAGCTTTTGCTGGCCTATGCATGGAGACTGGCTGGGCTGCCCTCCTTGGGGGGAGCGGAGGTCCATGCTTTTACACATGAAAAAAGGCTTCCCCGGAGCTTTGCGGGTTATTGGGGGGTTGTTCATTGCGGGTCACCCAATCAGAGGACGACTCGACCCCTCTGGAAGTCGCTGATCGGGCCCCGAAGGCCGGAGCGGGTGTCGCGTTTTGGATCAGGCTGCAGCCGACACCAGAATCCCCCACGCACCCTTCCATCCTGCTGTCCTGCTTTGGGCGCCCGGGGATGCCGTTTACACCTCAACCCCTCGAGCAATTAAGGCAGGCAGTTGCATTTTTCACAGACGCATCACATCATTGCCCGCCATCACAAACGGCCAATGGGTGAAACCAGGATCGAACGATTTTTTCTCCTCCAGCAACTGACACCGGGCAATGGGAGAAAACCTTAGCACGATAGATAAACGGATTGCGCCAATTCATTCCTATGACTTTGAGCGTGGTGTCACGTCGCGCCCAGCCTTGCAGCCATTGGTGAGGTGCTCCAGTGCCGGCAACTGCCCGCCAGGGAAGTTTGATCTTCCATCCCTCTACCTTAGCCAGCGCCAGGTCCTTTCTCTGCACAGGGCACCTCGGCGGCAGCAGGCGCACCTCAGCGTCTGGGGATATGCGGTGCGTTCTTCAGGTTAGCGCAGCCTCCCTCGTTGACCTTCACAGGCTTCCCCGCGTCGCGTGCTGGATGCCCTGTTTTGTTCAGGCAGGAGGTTGCATTGGCGCAAGCCAGGGGGACATGAGGTGATTTTTCGTCGCGCGTCGTCCACGCCCGACGCAACGACGATTCGATTTTTGCTTCGATCTGTTCAGTGTTACACGTGTACATCCGTGCACCCCGGGCCGTCCGCCCCTCTTCGCCCACGCTCGCAATATGCGCGGTTCGGCCTGCCAGTCTTGCATTTGAAAGTGGGAAACACTGCATTGCCAGTGCATGTGCTGAAACATTTGCTTGGCTGTTTCCTTTCCATGCATGTGGAGTTTTCTCGGTGTCCAATGGCGTGCTGTAAGAGACTGCTTTTCCCTCGGACCTGGCCGGAGTCTGCATTCCACATCACCACCACCTCAAAACAAGGGCACATTTAAGCCGGATGAGGGTTTTTATGAACCATCCCAGGTTGGCACCATTCCATTTAATTCCTTTTCCATGATGAGAGTGAGTTCAGTCGTGACTTCTCGTATACTTCTTTCAGACTTCAATACTCACCCTTGTTTCCGGCAGCCGTTGTTCGAGAGATAATTATGATTTTTAGTCCATAATTAAGCTCAGTTGAATAGCTCTTAGTCGTCAGTGACCTTCATTCCCACAACTGCTTTTTTGTCAGTCCCAATGACTTCCAGGTTGCCTCATAACACCCATCATTTCTAGTGTTCTGTAACATCGGGCGAGTGATTATGAGCTGTCAAGTCCCCGTCCATCAGACCCAGGTTCTCTGGTAAGTACCTCGTAATCAAACTCCTTGATCCCAGGTACATTGTGGTTTAAAAGACAGCAGTGTAATAGGCTGTGAAATAATGCATGACTCACTATTATGCATACAACTCCCGAATGTTCTTGTCTAGTCTTCTTCGAATTGGTCAAGAAGAGAAAAGGCAACATCAAGCACCAAGACAAAAGCTGACCTGTTTCGGGTCATTATATGATATATATAACTTATCTAGGCTATTCTCAGAGACGCGCAGAGCCAGCTGATAAAGCAGCGCAACAGGATAAATTGAGATCATGTTTGTCCGCTGAGGAACAAGAGTTTGTTTTGTCTACGCAATGTCAAGTAAGATGATATCTCCTGCCTTGCATGCTATGATGAACACCGATAACGAACTCACTCACCCCAACAACATCTGACACAGGATATCAGGAGTGAGCAAGTCTCTTCAGGGACACAGGCGCACGGTTTCGTATCATTGACAGTTATTTTACATGAGTTCTCTAGAGTGATTGATGCACCCGCATTCCTGATTGCCCATCACAGCACCAGGTAGGTAAAAAGAGAAGGAAGGAGAAGAAAAGAAAAAGAAGCAAAAAGAAGCAAAAAACACAGAACGACTTTTACTGGTTGGCAAAAATGAAGGAATCAGATCCAGAAATCTGACGCCGGGAATTGAGCCCGACGTGGGGGTCGAACCCACAGCCTTGAGATTGACGGAGAGATCTTTTTGGGGATCTACGTGTTCGTAAGAGTCTCACGCTCTACCGATTGAGCTAGCCGGGCCGTTGCTTTATTCAAGCGAGCCGATGTGGGTTTGTTGTTGGAGAGACGGGCGGGTAATTGTGTCCATGTGGGTTGAATGGAGCATGGAGGAGAGTGGAGAACGGGTGCATGGATGAGGGTTTTTATTTTGAGATGACTCGGGGGTGTGAATGGTTGTTTGGATCCACTCGTCCAGTTCATACTGTTGGTGAGTGGGTGATTGGTTGTACTTACTTAGGATTTTGATTTCATGTTTATACGAAATGAGTTGTTGAAAGCTGAGTTGGCAGGGGGTTGTGTCAACGCATAGGTAGAGAGATACAAGAACAGGGAATGCTGTGTTTGATACCAGACGTTCATCCCGACTCTCATCATTAATCTAGCGTCCTGATGACAACCCAACTTCTTTCTCAAGCCTATTTCTATCTGTTATACGTATTCCAATTATTTTCATTACACGTATCTTGTCCACCCCTATACAACGGTAAAACCATTCATCACCCATCATGACCCAGCCCCCGTTCTTCCCTCTAGACAGTCGTCCACTCGCTGATCTTGAGCGTGGGCTCCTCCAGCTCGACCTTGCACGTCGGCAGCGCAACGCCATAGTCATCGTACGACAACTTGCCCGTCTTGGCGTCCGAGGCGACGATCCAGCGGCGGTTGCGCAGGTCGCCCTCCTGGGCGCGGTCGTTGAAGTTCTGGGCCGCAAACACGATGCTGCTGACGGCCTCGGTGTAGAGCGTGACGGGGATGTCCTCGGCGCGGGTGAAGTGGTGCATGCCGAGGTTGAACCAGACGACCAGGTCGGCGTCATCGACGCCCTCGCCGTCAAAGAAGCGGGCATAGTCGTGCTGGGGCGCCTCGGGCAGGTTGACGTTCTGCCAGCTCTTGGCGAACACCTCGGCGTCGCGCTGCCGGGTCACGGCCAGGTTCGACTTGAGGAAGGTCGAGTGCTCTGCTTGCGGCTCCACGGCGAGTCGTGCACGCTCAGGTGGATGTTGGACCGCCCTGGGATCAGCCGGTACCCGCGCCTCTCGCCCCAGGCGTCGGTGTGGTTGGCACTGACGACTGAGTACATGGCCTGGCCGTTGGGGGCCCAGTTGAACTACTGCCCGGTTTGCATGAGGGTCGTGTTGAGCTGCATCTACTCGAAGCTGGTTGGAAGCCAGAGGGAGGGCAGTGTATCACTCGTACTTGTAGGCTGAACCACCAGTCTTTCGATTCAGTCTCTACATAACACTTGCATTGCCACTCCACACAGATGGCAGCTTGGAAGAGAACTATTAGCCCAATGAAGATACGAATGACACTATTCAATGGACCGTATCGCGTCTGGTGTCTCCCCAGACCATGGTATCGGGTTGTTGCTTGGCCCGACTGACTAGATTGACGCAGTACCTAGACCCTACCTAGCGAAGGAGATAGTCTCAGGCCCGAAAGCTGAGGGGGATCATGGCTGGAGAACTGACGGCAAGACGATACAGACTAATGATCCGTCTCTCACCTGCATATCTTTGTTCATAGGTACCTCTAAACAAGGTGTACCTTTTCTGCTCAAAAGGATCCTGTTCTCGGTGGGTACCGGCCGACGGAAAGAGTGCGACGAGTTATAATAGCAGCTATTACTCAAGTAGATGTGCATCATTGCGCTCTCTCTACCTTGCGTTGCCTGCGAGATACCCGATATAAGAAGCCACAAAACCGAGCCGTAAGTTATTTCAAAAGGACATGCTTCCAATTCTTTTCAGTCTCAGCGTTTGGATCTCAAGATGAGGAAATTTTACGGTTACTGCTCTCTGCTCGAGCGAAGTAAAGTACCTATGGTTAGGGCAGTTGCTAAACCAACCAACCAAGGCAGTTTTGAACATTAATCTACCTACCTAACGTCCATGAATGTGAATTACCCCCAGAGCCATTCCCGAGAACCCAACAACCCGGCTCCTGCAGTTGACTCGTGTTCCCCAACCCCGGGTCGTATGCAACTTGCTGTGGGTGAAATGCCCCCGGTTATCCAATTGTTCGGCTACATCGGCATCTTTGGCGATGACGACGAGCTCCGGCTTACTGAGATAGGTATAAGAGTCCTTAAAACCCACCGCCAAGTAACTGCCACGGACGTGTCAAGGACCCCCAAGAGGATTTTAATCAGTGGGAAGCACAACTCAACCCCTCAGCATGTCGAGATAAGTGATAGTATCTGTGAGCGTGTGTAATTGATTGACGCCGTCTGGATACAACTCAATTGCGCGGTGTAGGTCTAGACGAACCAAAAGGCGTGAATGGTGTTTTGTGTCGATGGCGAGAAAGTGTGAGCTTTGAGTCGTGGTTGTGGTAAGCGTTCGTTCCCACAAGGCCAAGCCTGTGGGGCCCTCAGGAGATATGCCCTCTCGACGACATCTCTACCTAAGGTACCTAGAGGTAGACATCAAGGGTGTAATTATACCTGGTCATTTTTCAGAAATTGAATGTGAAAAGGAAAGAAAGGAAAGAAGAGGCAGAAAACAGCGACAGAGAATACATTACCACCGGGTTTATAATCAAGATCGAGCGACGTAGAACGGAAAGAGGCCGTACTAGGTTTGATATCTACCTGAACGTCATTCCCTCGAACCTACCCACCCACCTCACCCATCAGAGCAACGGGGATGTATTAACAGATCGCACTTCTCTTATAATTACACGTCTGTATTATAATCTAAGTACCTTATGTGTTAACAATGTAGGAGGAAAGGGTGGACTAGATTATACGGAATCCGACCTTGTGGCTCAGGCGGATCCTAGTACACCAAAATAATAATATACCATGGTACCAACACCCGGTCGACACCGTGTATAAACACCGGGCTCCTCTTACTGATCTGGCAATGAGACCCCCCCTTTTCTTAGTAACCAGCATGGACCTCTGTATGAACTTGTGGACTCGCCAAGTGGGCTGTTAAAAGCGGTTTCAATCGGGCCTCATTCGCGCCACTATTATGGTATCAAACATAAGTGCCCTCGCACCAAGGAGATTCAATTACCCAGCCAATATCTTTACGGCAATGCGAAATAACTATCAAACAACAGGAACACACTCATCAACAACACCCCTCACTCCTCGCCATCCTCGCCGTCCTCGCTCTCATCCCCATCCTCCGCCATATCCATAACGAGGCCATCCCTCTCATCCTCGCTCTCATCCTCGCCATCCTCATCCCCGTTCCCCTCCTCATCATCCTGGAAATCGGCATAGTTCCGAGCATCGTAGTCATCGCTGCCCATTTCCTCCATCTCCGAATCCGTCTCCTCCTCCTCGGGGATCGGGTGCTTGTGACGGTGCATCTGCAGCCTCTCGGCAAGGGACATGGACCGGGCCGCAGCATCCTCAGCGTCCTGGTCCTCGTCCTCGCTCTCATCCTCCTCCTTACTCGAGCTGGAGCCGGAGCTCTCGGACTCGGCCGTCTTTGCTCCTCCCGCGTGAGCATTCCCGATACCTTGACCGGGCCCATCGTCGTCCTCGTCGTCCTCATCGTCGGTAATCACGGCGCGAGCGCGACTGTTGGCGCGGATCTTGCGCTCCTCCTCCGAGTCGTCGTCGTCGGAAAGAACAATGAGATTATTTCGATGGCGTGCGCGTTTCCTAGGTCCCTCGTCCTCTGACTCCTCGTTCTCCTCGTCGGAGTCCAGAACGCGGCTTCTCGAGCGCTTGAGTGTGTTCCTGGGCGCGGATGGCGGGGAGCCGACTACGTCTGAGCCGTTCCCTTCGCGCGCGGTAGAGGAGTCAGAGTCGAGCTCGGGACTGGAGAAGCGGGCGGCGGGGATATCATCGCTTGTCAGGTCTATCGTCTCGGACTGTGGGTGGATGGGAGAGAAGCCTGCGAATGTCGATGCGCCACCGTCGTCATCGGAGTCGTCGCCCGAGCCCTCCTGCTCGCTGTGGTCGTCATCGTCAATGACCACGAGATCATCGTCATCGGAAAGCTCCACCACCTCTTCAATTTCAGAGTCGTCGATGCCATCGCTCTCGTACTCATCGGCTTCTTCGCCGGAACCACTTTCCTCGTCAGATGCGTCAGAAAACTCCCAGTCTTCCATCGAACCTTCCATTTCGACAAGTCTGCTGAACCGATGGATGCCATCTTCGAACGAAAACTTGACAAGAGGCCAGAGGGTTGGGATGTGAGGGTGCTCGATGAGGGGCCGCAGAAGCTCAGGGAGGCCCGGCATGAGTCTTGTCAGGTCGGGAACATGGGCCTTGGCAAACTCAAGATTCCTTTCCAAATCAGGCCAACAGTACATGTATTCCAATCTTGTGTGGCCGTCGTCATACTCATTATCCTCGAAAGTGTTGAGGTAATAGTGATTGACCCGTTTAGATGCACACCACTGGAGCCTCTTGGCGGTCATTCCCTCAGGGTCAACCGAGCAAAAGATGGCCTTTAGGTTTGGGCATGCATTCAAGACATTGGCCTGGAGGAGGGGAGTGCGATCGATAAGGAACTCGGTGGTTTCAAGACACAAGTTGTGAATCTGGTCTGTGAAGCCGGGAATCTGCCACCTCGCCTGACCCGGTTCATGGTACGTCTCAGGATCGCCATCATGCAGGGTAGAGAAGAGAACGACCACATCGTTCTCCTTATCGAAACGAAGCGAGCCTTGGCCTTCCTGGAACTGGAGCACGTCGGGGAACGTCTTGAGAGCGAATTCGCGGCTCTCCCGGCAGGCGGCTAGCACAGCCCGGGACGCGGCCGTCTGCTGGCTCAGCAGGGCCCCGGCGCATATCTGGACGATAGGCTGATTGGGGCCTGATGATCTGGCCGAGGGCTCGGCCACGATGAACTCATAGACATGTGCTTTGGACGTCAAGTCCGGGCAGAAGAGCTCCCAGATGCGGTGGCGGAGCTCGATGGGGAGGCGGCTGAACTGGGGGAAAGGACCGCCGTGTGCATGTGCACCGTCGGACTTGGGCAGCCGGTTGAGGCCGAGATAAGGTTTGTTGTCGTCATCGTCATCGTCATGGTCGTCATCGCCCGACGCCG